TGTTGAAGCTGCTGTGGTTCAGAAAGTCAAAATGGCCAAACGCTATGCCCCAGCTCAACAAGACATCAGTGCTCAGCACAACAGACTCGTGCACGCTGGTGAAACTTCTCTGGTTGGGTTTACCTTCAAGTTCCAAAACCCAAAGCCCAGACAAAACAGTAATTCTGAAGGCTTACGAACGAATTCAGCACTGCATATTGTTGGAGGATCCAGTTCTCAGTAAAGTGGGTATTCCTCTACCAAAAATCAACATCAAGACAGAACGTGATTTCATCCGTCGTCAGGAGAAGCTTATCAATCTGCAGTCAACAAGAATGCCATCTGCCACTGTCTTAAACACCACGTCAATCTCTTCAAAAAACTTACCTCCGGCACCGTGTCAACCATCAGTTCTCCCTCCAACCGACTACAAACCGATTGTGTATGAGCACATTCCCAGCAAGGCAGGTACCAAAGTGTTGAAAGGAAGATCTGACATCACAACACCAGCTCCAAAGACTCCGTCCCAGGTCTCCGTCTATAAATCTCCCCTAACATCTCACATACCCGAGCAGAAACCTTCAGTCTTTGCTAACATCTTCAGTCCTCTATCAAATTTTTTTGGATATACTGAACAATCATTTCCACCACAAACAACACCACTCTTTTCCACCGCCACAACCACTACTAAGATTCTGCACACATCTGCCATCACAACACCGGAGGAAACATCTTTCAGTCAGGGCGACACTTCCACCAGTGCAACACCTGAGAGCTCACAGAGAGCTAACAATCCAGCCTGGTCCCGAGCTACGATATACAAAAGAAAAATCACAGAAAATCTTGCTCCAGTCGGAGCCAAGGTATCGCGTGTGCACAACTTGCCAACCTGTAGACTGTGCAAGCAACCGATTCAGGGGCACCCAAAATACAAAAAGAAGGCATTCTGTCACGTGAAAATGATGTCTACATCTGCAGGATTGGACACAGTAGTGTACAGCAGTTACGAACATTTCACCACAGTCGTTGATGCACTAAACAAAAAGTAAACAAAAAGTTTCCTAGAGTTATTGAATATTGTGTATAATTTTGGGGTTTTATAATCCGTCAAATAAAGTGTTAGGTAAAGACGGGCAATATTTAGTTTTGTTTACAATTTTAGGTTTGTTTACTTAATGCATTATTTTAAAACTAATTATATTAATTTTAATATAATTATTTTAGATTTCACCTACCTCTGATGTTTAAATTTTACCTAGTATTGTTTATTTTGCTATTTATTTTACATTTAATTTCAGTCTCTCTTTTATTTGCTTATTATGAATTTACTTTAATATTTTTATGTAAACTGACTCAGTGAATAAAGCATTCAACAACAACAATTTCAAAGTGAATGGCTACTTCATTTATAAACAGGATATATTTTAAAACATGTGCTCCACACAGATATTTCATCCAAGTAATATTTCTCATGTAATATAAAATAAATGTTCATATTTTCTTTAGGAAACACGCTGTTTAATTATTCAGTGTTATGATAACAGGTTAAACGTCGATAAGACGCAAATAAAAATATTTTATATTTGTGATATTTAAACTGTCTATTATTAATGAATATATTAAATCTATTTTTCTTGTTTTATTATAAATTTTAACCAGTGCTATTTTAAATAAAATTAATGAAATTTAAATGGATGAATAAACAAACATGTTGCCCAATTGTTATTTTTTTATTTGTCTTTATTTATTATATTTGCAAAAGACACAAATGAAAATAATATTTTATATTTGTGATATTTATACTGTCTATTATTAATGAATATAATAAATATATTGTACCTGTTTTATTATAAAATTTAACCAGTGCTAATTCAAATACAAAATTAATTTAAAAGGATGAATAAACAAACATGTTGCCCAATTGTTATTTTCTTTATTTGTCTTTATTTATTATATTTGCAATGAACGATTAGTTACCTTTACATCATTACAAATTGTTGTCTCAACTGTACAGTTGAGACAAAGTTGAAACAAAAAGCACCTTATTTTTATGAGCTTATTGTGGAAAATATAAAGTGGGTATTATTGATTGATAATAATATCTTAGTCTAAAAGTTAATGAAATGTCATGTGGCATGTCATGTGGAAATTCACTTCTTTTCAGTGTGTATTTTTGTGTGAAAAATCAAAACGCAAAAAATGTCTCAGCTGTGCCTTTGAAGTGTTTCAATGCGCATGCGCGTGCGGGTAAACATTCAACTGGAGCGCGCGTGACAGGCTGCAGCAGATGAAAACGAGCAAACGTCGTCAACTGACAAACAGCTAAACTGGCGTTTCTCGCTGTTGTTTTCACGCCGGCTTTCAGGTAAGTTTAGGGAAAAAAATCATACAAGTAATACATACACGTTCCTGACACCTTTCTTACGTGTAACCAGTGGTGTAGTCTAATTTTTTGTAGTGAGTATACTGTGATATACCAGCAGCCCCCCCCGCCGCCGCCACCACCACCCATTTGCGAAAAATTTTCAAAACTTGTGTGATATTTCTTTAAAGTTCTGTCTTAATAGATTTGATTATTATTATTTTATAAATTACATTTTACTATGCAATTTCTTTCATAATTCCATTGAGTTACTTTATTTATCACTATAAACTGTTTTAAGACATTTGAGCATCTGTGTGTTTTAATAAACTATTATTAATATCATTAGGCCTACTTGAAGTAGGCCTATACTCTACTGTGCAATAGTAATATATTTCTTTTAAACTTTGATTTTGACAGGTTGCATGAAGCAGGGGCGTCACTAGGATTTTGATCATCACTTAGGATTTTTTTAAAAAAAAAAGAGAAAAAAAAAAGGTAACACTTTAGTTTAGGATCTAATGCTCACTATTAACCAGTTTCATTACATGCAAAGGCAGGATTTTATAATCACTGTTGTCCCAAATGTGAGGTAGGTTAGTTAGGGGAGTTCAGGGTTTCCCTATTTCTCTGATCTGCATATGTGCATTTTAGGATGTTTTGAAGGCCAAAAAAAATTAGATAACAGCTTTAAAACCATGTCAGTGGGCAGCTGAGCAGCTGATTATTTTTCTCTCCTCATCAGCATCACCCTCTTTTTCTCTTTGTTTTTATCTTGCCCTGTCTCTTCCCCTCCTAAAGATGAGCTGTGACTGATATAGGCTTTTCATTTTTGTCTGGCAGTGAAGAAACTAAACATGGGGTCAACTGATAAGTGGATTTTCCCTATGAATAATTTTTCTCGGACACGTTTATTCACTGAAAGCTACTAAAGCTAGGTAATTAGTTTATTAAATACATTCAAAACATACCCAGCAAACAGGGGACGTCCTCCGGACGTTGCGAACGTCTAATTAGGTCCGCATTTGGTCCGGTTCATAACGTTCGCTGGGGGACGTTCGGAGGACGTCCGCATTTGGTCCGGTTCATAACGTTCGCTAGGGGACGTTCGGAGGACGTCCGCATTTGGTCCGGTTCATAACGTTCGCTGGGGGACATTCTGAGGACGTCCGCATTTGGTCAGGTTTATAACGTTCGCTGGGGGACGTTCGGAGGACGTTCGCATTTGGTCCGGTTCATAACGTTCGCTGGGGACGTTCGGAGGACGTCCGCATTTGGTCCGGTTCATAACGTTCGCTGGGGGACATTCTGAGGACGTCCGCATTTGGTCAGGTTTATAACGTTCGCTGGGGGACGTTCGGAGGACGTTCGCATTTGGTCCGGTTCATAACGTTCGCTGGGGACGTTCGGAGGACGTCCGCATTTGGGCCGGTTCATAACGTTCGCTGGGGGACATTCTGAGGACGTCCGCATTTGGTCCGGTTCATAACGTTCGCTGGGGGACGTTCGGAGGACGTCCGCATTTGGTCCGGTTCATAACGTTCGCTGGGGGACGTTCGGAGGACGTCCGCATTTGGTCAGGTTTATAACGTTCGCTGGGGACGTTCGGAGGACGTCCGCATTTGGTCAGGTTTATAACGTTCGCTAGGGGACATTCTGAGGACGCCTAATTACGTAGTTTTTTTTTTTTTTGCATTTTGACATTAGGCTACTATGGTTTTAATGTAATAAACCATAGCAATAAAAGTAAAAACATGTCTATTTGTGGAAATGGTTTTACCAATAAAAAAATAAGTTAGGTAAATCAGGTTTCTTAAAGGGTTAGTTCACTCAAAAATGAAAATTCTGTCAGTATTTACTCACCCTCATGTTGTTCCAAACCTCTGTGTGTTTATTTGTTCTGCTATACACAAAGGAAGATATTTGGAAGAATGTTTTAATCAAACAGATCTCATTCCCCATTGACTACCTTAGTAGGAAAAATACATACTATGGTAGTCAATGGGGAATGAGATCTGTTTGATTAAAACATTCTTCCAAATATCTTCCTTTGTGTATAGCAGAACAAATAAACACAGAGGTTTGGAACAACATGAGGGTGAGTAAATACTGACAGAATTTTCATTTTTGGGTGAATTAACCCTTTAAGAAAGGTTTAAAAACTACTCATTCTGTAAAACATGGCCTTGATCCTTCATTGTATAACAATGATCCAACTAAACCAGATTTCACTATTTAAAATGAATAAAAATATATGATACAATGTAATTGTTTGTCCACAACCATTACTATATGACTTAATTAGGGTAAATTTAATCCATTGCATAATCTACATCACAATGCACACATAATCAGGCAATAGTGGAAGTATCCACCATTGTGCAGTTATAGATTCCTGGAGGGCCACAACCCTACAGAGTTTTGTTCCAACCCTGCTTCAACACAGTTTTCAAATGAGCCTGAGGACTCGATTAGCTGATCAGGTGCGTTTAGGGTTGAAGCTAAACTCTGCAGGGTTGTGGCCCTCCAGGATTGATTAAAACAATGACAATAAAAAATAAGAACAATGTTAATGTGTGTGTTTTTTTTAATTCAGAATCTTTGCAAATTTCCATCTATTAAGTACTGTAAAATAAATAATTGTTGGATATCCACACAAACACATTCAATCAAGAAAAAACAAACTTGAAATGCACTATACTATAGTCCAAATAGAAGACGTTTATTATTGCTAAGGGTTCAAAATGTAAGCAGAGCGAATGAAAACAGAAATGCAGAATGGCAGGTTCTGAATCAGATGCAAGCAATGACTTCCAAACAGCAAATGCAGGAGAGGTGACCAAAAAGGATGGGAACAAGTTCAATGCTGAAATTGCTGGAAAAGAAAAATGAAAAAGATACAGGTAAGATATGCATCCACATGTAAACTTTGGCAATTTCACATTCTAAACCCATCATTTCAATTGACAAACTGTTGGTCAGGCTGCAAAGTAAGGTATTTTTTTTACCCAAAATAAAAATTATAATATGAATAACAGTTTCATGCATAATGGCTGGGTGGAAATACATGATTCTCGTTTAAAAATAAAAAAAATCTGAATAATCTGAGAGCCCAAATGTATTTAAAAAATAAATAAATAAAATAAAATTAATTGAATGTGTTCGTTCTTCTTTGGCTGAAAGTCCCTTGCTGCAAACTTTTATTCGTGGAAGCTTCACGTTTATTTCAAGTGAGATAAAATAATTCATAGTAACATTTTGTGCCCAATTTTTTCCCAGATGTAGTTTTGGTATTGGGGTCAAAGTTGCCTTGTTGTGTTCACTATAAGTTACAACAGAGGGTGATGGTCACACAAGACAATCGGCAGATTTAAAAGTGTTTCCCCCTATCACAGCGACTTTTTTTGTGCATGTTCGGCAGACAGGGCAACCATCCTTAATTAAGTTTCCCTCAGGACTTTTGTAAAAGCCAAAATATGACCACACCTCAGATTTGGTCCTCTTAAAAGGCTGAAAAATCTCCTGATCACGGACACTTCCTAGCGCCATTCCATCTCGAATAAAAAAATAAACAACTTTGCGCGCTGCGTCAGACTGTGGACATGATTTATAGCGAGTTATTATAATCGCGATAATCTAACACGGTTTTAACGATAATTCAATTTTAAACGATAATACTACCCGTCAGTACATTTTATCGTGGTTTATATTGAAACCGGTAATCTTTTGGACATTCATCATATCGCATTGGTTTTCATTTCTTGTCCTCAAAACAGAGCACTAATCTGTTTATTTTTAAGTTACACATTAAAAAAAAAAGAAAATTAAAATGTTGGCAGTATTATTTTATACGGAAATCAATTATTTATAATTCTGATGAAAATAAAGTTAGGGTTAATTAAAATTGAGGAAAACAAATAGATTGATCTGAAATATAGCAAATTAATTTTAAATTAATTCAGGTTCAATTACCAAACATATCTCTAGGTTTTCATTTTATTCACTAATTATATAAAACTATTATCAGTGCACTATAAATAAACAGGTTCTATGCCTTTATAAGTAAAACCTATTTAAAAAATACAAGGCTTAAGACATTTATAAAAATGCCTTCTTTATTTCTTTTTTGCTTTTCACTCCATCTTACCGAAATCATACTGAACCATGATGTCTGAACCGAACTGTGACTTCTGTGTACCATTCCACCCCTAGTATTGTTGCCATTCTATGAATTACGTTAAGCTATGGTGATTTTTGTTAAGTCACGCTCAGAAATGCATCATTTGCATATTAAACTCACAAAAAAAAACAAGCAGGGGGCACGTACGATCACAACCACCCATGTCCCGCCGCACCGCCCCACTGTCACCTTTTTTACTCCGAGGAGTTTGCCGGTCTGATTGTGAATTTAGACTTATGTTTACATTAATTATTTTAGTTTTCCATGGTTGTGTTGATATTTCCGTCTTGAGATTATAATTAGAGGAAGGTTAAGTTTGAAATAAAAATGTTTAAATGTAATATATTTTTTCTCCTGGTCTCCTGGTTATCGATATCGACTGATATGAAACACTGATATCGTGATAAAGTTTTCAGCCATATCGCCAAAGTCCTACTAGCCACTCAGCTTTTTCACTGGCCACAATTTATACCATGGGGGAATAACTTCCATATAGATATTTTTAATAGCATCTCATAATTTGGCAGCCGGTATATTAGGCTACTGTCACTTTAAGACCTGATGCATGGATTCACTATACTTTGTGCACTTTGGGTGTGAGCACAAAATCTGCGAAAACGAGTAAAATTTTGCTCAATACGCGCAATCCCTCGCCAGAATTCAAGCCCTGTACCACCAACAATATTCATCCAGAGCAGGGTTGGTGTGTCAAACTCGCTGTCAGAGAGATTAAAGAGCGAGAACATGCAGCTGGTATTGTTTGTATTTATTCTGCGAGAGAGTTTCAGATATTTCAGTATCAATATGTATCGAAAAATCACTATTACTGCCAACACGAGATTGCACTTGGTTTTTTTATTTCAGATGCGGCACCTTTTTAAAACACTACAATTGAAAAATGTATAGTATATAAAATTCAATGTCAATGGGTGTTAAAGGTGCCCTATAATGTGAAATTGAATGTATGTTGGCATAGTTAAAAAACAAGAGTTCAGTACATGGACATGACATACAGTGAGTCTCAAACACCATTGTTTTCTCCTTCTTACTTAAATCTCGTTTTTTGAAAAACACCCCTGAAAAACAGGCGAATCTCCACATAATACCGACTCTGACGCAATTGTCGGGATCATTAATATGTATGACCCAAAATATTTGCATATGCCAGCCCATGTTCAGTGATAGACGAGATGGAGCTGCACGGCCGAAGCATGGCAGTTGATCAGTGTTCGGATGTACACATGAACACAAAAGTATTTTTAGTTCCTTCATCCGAGCCTCTGAAGAAACAATGGGTTAATTTTATTTTCTCTGGATTTTCACCGACGACTGTTTCCTCAACTTCCCAAGAGCTGGCCTCGGACCGAGCTGATGTGTTATTGTTGTTCAAGTTCAGACAGGTAACGTTAATCTTTCACTCAAAATCGTTCAATACTGTTTATGCATCAGTAAGTCAAGCCAGGAACTTCACATCGTTTCTTTTAGTAGGATGAAAAAATAATAATAATAATTGTGAATAAATTATATACAGAAAGCGATCAATATCTTTCCACACAGCGCGAGTTTATCTGGACACTTGCCAAACTCGTTATGAATTCAATGACGCACGTTACACTGCACAACGAAGCTCTAACTGTATTTAAATGATCGTGTTGGCATTGGTGAAAAAGCATTAGACTAGAGAGAGCAGAAACTGCATTGCAATGATAAGATCTTCATCCTCGCGATCAACAGGCTGTCTGTCCTCTGCTTGCTCAGCACAGCAACATTTTATGTGATGGGAATAGATCTAAATACTTCAAAAACATCTCACGATTCGTTAATCTCGATTGCTGTAATAGTAAAAACGTATAATAGCTGTAGTAAAATTATTCGAGAGAGTTTCACATCTAATACATAGCTATTTCATATGCAAGCATGTCAGCCAATCACAGCAGAGGCCGGTTACACACAAGTAAGAAAGGAAAGGTTTCAGGTAGTGGTGTCAATTGAATTTGCTTACCTAAAGCATCCTCGTCCAGGAAGTAAACTATGACACCAGGGACTGGAACACAGAGATAAATTAGATTAATAGGCATTAATTGTTAAGTGTAAATGCTCTCTTGTACCACAATCCTCCATTGTTATTACGATAGTCATCTGTGGGTTTACAAAAAGGTTGAGTCTAGGAAAAAAAAGCAACAAGCATCCCTTTAATAGGGAAAGAAGAAGAAAAGAAAGGGGAAAAAAACACAAGCACTTTGATGAATTGGCACAATTAAAATTCAGCCAAACCAAAAGCTATGTCCCTGACCTATAGCTTTGACTAAGAGAGGGGATAAAATACATTTGAATGCACACATTCGAATGCACCTCGCGAGAGAAACTTATAACTGACATAACGGAATTAACGTTGTTGGTGAAAAGACAGTGGTGGATACAGACGAGCTCCGATTGATTTTCGTATTTTTTCATATAAATTGCGTGTATTTTGTAGTTAATTGTTAGGTAAGTTAGTTGATACGTTTAGATTTCATCATAGGTTAATTTATAGTCATCATATTTAGTATTTATATTAGTTATAGTGTACAGTTTGAGAAGTTAACGTTAGATAGGATAGTTTTCGTAGCTTAATCGACGTTAGTTAAGTTGTGTATGTTGTAAATACGTGTAGGGTTAGTTTATACAAGGTTTATAGCTATAAGTTACTCATTTGTTTGATTTTTCATATCGTATTTGCGTTCATAGGCAAGTTTACGTATCATATTTTAGTGGATTTTTGCTTTCATAGTTAGTACGTACGCAGCTAACGTTAGGTCCATTACACCACTTTCTTCGCGAAACCAGTGGACATAAAGTTACAATTGAGGTAAGTAACTTACGTGTATTAATATTAATACATTAATATATTATTAAGTTAACCGTACGAACAAGATACGCTGCGTGAAGTGCGCGAGATAGCGCGAGCGATGTGCACAAGATCATGCATCTAGCTAGTGACGAATAACTTTTAATCTATCAAAAGATGTACGTTATTGTATACAATATAAAAAAACAAAGTTACTGTATTCACGATTAAACACATTTTAACGTTTAAATTAGGACAACACTCTTACCCACAGTCTTCCAGCGACTCGTCTACCTGCCGTGGTGTGTGTGCATATCATAGGCGGATATGGGCATAGGATATGGCCCTTCACATGGGTTTACTGGCGGGCAACACACTAAATGCATGCCGCCACCTATTGTACTGGAGTTTAATTAAAATTAGAGTTATTTCTATCTTGAAAACTGTTTTACAGTCTATGGTGGAAACACACTGAAAAGTAATGATTCAAGTGGACCTTAAAAACAATAACCACTGCAAGTAGCTTTTGGGCCAAATTAGAATAATAATTCACCTCTCGTGTTTGTAGAAAGACGTGGATTCATTAACTTATTCCTAAGGTCACAGCTATAGACTGTGCAGACCATTGATTTAGTCTGAATTTATGTATTAATAATGCATGTCTTTTTGGAATTATCTTTAAATCGGTATAGCTTATTATACATTAATATTTATTAAATTTAAATATAACTTTTAAACATTAAAAAAATCAAACTATGAACAATTTACAAATTATTTACCTGAGAACAAAAAACATGTGTAATGACTAAGTTTTTTATGCCATACATCACAAAAAAAAAAAAACAATTAAATTTGATATAAACAATATTAAGTATTATGATGCTAAAAAAAGCCAAGAGTGTGGCTACATCTTTTAATTTATCTTGTTTGAAATAGTATATATATGTGTGTGTGTGTGTGTGTGTGTGTGTGTGTACGTATATTTATTTAATTGTTTATTTCTGTTTTCTCAGCCCTTGTACTTCTGGCCAGTATGTCCTCCAAAAAGGTAAGTTCAGTACCAATTAAGTTATATGGCTGATAGTTTAAGGGAAAAACAGATTAAATCTGAAAATGTCCTGAATGTACTGTCATTTATTGAATTATTGGCAGAGACACCAGTACAGTAGATGGATGACATCAATAGAGCGTAAGAGGCAGTACAATAAAATCTGGGCTAGAGTGTCAAGGGCACAAAAGGCAGCAGCCAACAAGGAAGCGATCAGTGAGATGGCCAGCATTGCTGATAGTGACAGTCACAACCAGGTCTTTGAGGAGGAAAATTTTAGCATGTTTATAGATCCAGCCCTGTCAAGTTCTGATAGCGAACAAGATGCAACTACGCTCAAGGAAGAACTTTCAAAATGGGCATGCAAGTTTCAAGTTAAACATAATGCCGTGGATGCTCTCTTAAAAATCCTCAAAATACACGGGCATGCAGAACTCCCCTATACTGCAAGGACACTCTTTGCAAATGAGAAGCATTATGAACTTACTACCAAAGATGCTGTTGAGAGTGTACAGTTCAGTGTGGCAGATCAGCTCTCAAAGCATCTGAGCAGATATCCTGCAGCTGTGACAGACCATCTGCAGTCACTGGACCTCTCCTTAAATGTTGATGGGCTACCATTATTTAAAAGCTCAAACCTGTCCCTCTGGCCAGTTCTTTGTTCCATTAATTTGTCACCAGCATGTATTTTCCCCCTCTGCCTCACCACTGCTGCATCCAAACCTAAAACACAAGACTTTATGAGTGACACAGTTCAGGAATTGGCAGAACTAATGCAGAATGGTCTGACCTGGGAAGGCAAGCATTTAAGCATCCAACTGAGATGCGTTACCTGCGATGCTCCTGCCAGAGCCATGGTCAAGTGTGTCAAGCAGTTCTCCGGCTACTATGGGTGCGACAGATGCACCCAGAAGGGATCCTGGGATGGTCGGATGACGTATCCAGATGTTGACAATCTGACCTTGAGGACAGACCAATCATTCAGGGAGTGTTGGCAAACAGAACACCATCACGAGGAGAAGATTTCGCCTTTCTCTGTTCTCCCAATCGACATGATCAAATCATTCCCCATCGATTACATGCACCAGAGCTGCCTTGGGGTCATGAAAAAGTTGCTGCTATTGTGGACAAGAGGTAGATCCGAGTACCGCATGTCATCAGGGGACGTGGCCCGTGTAAGCAATAGGCTGGAGATACTGAAGAAAACAATTCCTGACTGCTTTGCCAGAAAGCCAAGAGGGTTGCAAGAAATTGAGCGTTGGAAAGCAACTGAATTCAGACAGTTTGCATTATACACAGGGAAGATAGTTCTGAAGGGAGCACTACAAGGACAACTGTATGAACACTTCTTGTGTTTTAGTACTGCTCTGTGCATCTTAGTGAATCCAGAACTTACAAAGGCACAAGGGCCTTATGCCAGCCAACTACTGCAATACTTTGTGGAGAAAGGACGGGAGATATATGGAGAGACATTTTTAGTGTACAATGTCCACTCATTGCTGCACCTTTCAGAAGATGCTCAAAACTTTGGCTGCCTAGACAACTGCAGTGCATTTAAATTTGAAAACTATCTACATCAGATGAAGAACATGGTCCGCTCTGGAAAAAATGTCTTAACTCAAGTAGCAAATCGTCTGGAGGAAACATCAAAGCTGAAGCAAGAAAACAAGGGAAAAGTGGTGTCATTGAAAAGCCCAAACAATGTGTTTGTTTTAAGCCCTGAAGAATGTTGTGAGGTGGTGTCAGAAGGTGTGGACAACACAATGTTATGCAGAGTCTTCACCAATTTACAGCCATACCTGATGACACCATGCGATTCCCGTCTTTATGGAGCCTATGTAGCTAACATTAGGCACTCACAAATGCGTTGCGTTGACAGAAAGGCACTTGAGAGGAGGGCATTTATGTTGGAAGATCGTGGAATCAGAATTGTCGTGTCTATCCTTCATACTCTGTAGACTGTTGAAAGATCAATGTACATAGTTATTTATTAGTTTCATTTGAAGACAAATAGCATTACAACCAAATCATCAAATATGTCACAAGACCCAAGCCTTTCTGTAGAAGAACATTTTAACTACAAAAATGAAATGAGAATGTCTAGAACTTAAGAAAACAAGGAGGATGAACAATGAAAACAAATTCATCTGATACAAAACAGCCATTATCATAATCTATTCATGAGGTTAGAGCATGTCCTATGGATCAATTTATAACTAATTATAAATATTTCAACAAATTATATTTTAACTTTTCTGTTTAATACAGGATTATTTGCGCTATGTTGTGCTTCATTTTATTGAGCACAATGAAGTTGAGGTGGCTCCATCCAGCTGGTTGGAGTTTAATAATGAGGTAAGACGAAGTCCATAAATAAACATAACTGTTAAATATTAAACGAGTTTATTGTAAATGTGCAAATGAAAACAAATGCATCTATGTCTGAAAGGTATGGTACTGCTACTGGCCTCACGTGAATGCTGGGATTATGGTAAAGAAATGTGCCATCCCAGACAAGAAGCTTTGGTCAAAACATCAAGTCAGAATATTTTCTGACACAGGTAAAGTATGCAAAATAATACCTTACAAACTTTTTAATCAAGACAAAAAATAGAAAATATTTCTTTCTATAATAAGTTATGCTGCTTTGTGAGCAGATAGTTATGATCTCGCAAGATTTCGGGCAAGAAAGGCCCAAGAAACATCACATCTTGAGGACTCTGATGAGAATAGGGGGAGAAAAGTCATTCCCCCTAAACGATTTAGAGGTATTTAGATATGGTAGAATACATAGGTTAAAGATCTTCCCTAATTTATTATGAAAGGTAATTTTTAAATTTTTTTATTTATTTTTTGCAGAGGAAGAAGTCTTGCCCAGCCAGCCCAGAAGGGCAAAACAGACTCAAAGCTGTAAGCATATAAACTATAACTGAAATGAGAATGATTATGAAAAACCCAAATTTGTGTTCTCTATTAATGTTTAATTAAATTTTGTTTTGCAGTTCATGAGAATGGTGGGTCGTCTCAAGGTGAATTCATTGTGGTGTGCTCATACCAAAAAAAAAATGGTTTTAAATATCAGTGAGAATTTATAAAAGGAGAATTTATTTAACTATATAATCTAATTCTTTATTTTCATTATTCAATTTGGCCTGGAAGACGAAATTACCAGCTTACAAGCCAAGAAAAGGAAAACAAAATCAAAAAACAGATCAACATTAGCAGAAACTACACTTGAGTGTAAGTAGAAAATTAATGTCACTTAATTTTAATAAAGAGAAGTCAATATTGCTTACATGATTGCTGTCACTGTTTTTTTTTCAGCTGTTGAGACTGACGAAGGTAAGACCACTGTTATTTAGCTTTTATAGGTTTAAACAATGTTATGTCTTTTTCACTCAGTTCTTTTTTATTTATTACCTTAGATGAGGAGCTGCAGCCAAAAAGAAAAAAACAAAAACAATCTCATTTGATGTTGCCCAATGCTCCTTCCTGTGAGTACATTTTGAGTTTTATTTTTCAGTAACTGAGTAATTATAGAAAGAAGTTTGAGGTTGGGACTTTTTTAAAACTAAATTAAATAAAACAGCAACACAACTCTTTACAACATTCATAATAATAAATACATCTTGAGCAGCAAATTAGCATATTAATGATTTCTGAAGGATCATGAAGACTATCCTAATTCATCTTTGCCATCACATAAATGTATTTAGTAATTAAACTGCATTTAGTAATTTACATTTACAGTCCAAAAAATGTAGTAATAATTCACATTATAACGGTTTCAGCTTTCACATTGATCAAATAAATGCAGCCTAGGTGAGATAACAGAAAACTTCTGCATTGTGACATTGAAACTTTTTGATTGATGTGTTTACAGTTCCATCTGCTTCAAGACTACCACAGTCCAGCTCTACAAGCCAGCAGATTCAAGGTACGAAGAAAGGCTAATATACACATATACAGATGACCTGGATAGATATGTACAAGCATTGTGATTCTAACAGTCACACTTTCTTTAATATGAATCAGCTCTGTTTAATCTGTCTTTTTGAGATATATATATATATATATATATATATTGAAGGGCATAGGCCTTTTTTGTTGCATTGATTACAATAGTGTTATTACAATAGTGTTATATGAAGCATTTATTAAATAAATGATAAAATTGGTAGATTTTAATTATACTGTAATGCTGAATGGCTATAATTACTAAAATTGAGGGGGAAAAAATCAGAGAGAGAGACAATGTTTTCACAATGTTTTAACAGAGCTATTTGACGGCTTGGAGAGGAGAATCCTACTGAAACTTGATCAAATCCATGCCGATATTAAAACGGCTATTGGACTGCAGTCAGTGAACCAGGAAATCACCTCTGCTTCGGACGTATTCGAGGTGCTAGAGGAGCCGTGCAAGTCAGTGGAGGAATTGGAAGAGCTCTGCGAAAAGCTGAAGGCTGCTGAGTTTCGCAAGAAGATTGTATGTGCTGCAACAAATGCTGTTTTATATTATGCTGCAATTTCTTGGCACTGTTCTTTGATAATTGATTGTTGTTGTTTGCATGTAGATTCGATATCTTTGTCTTCAGAGTGCTGGCAGTTTGGGGGATGGCATTAGACGAATGCTTAAAAAAATAGGAGAGAATTCCCTTTGGGCTGAGTACAGCTACAAAGGGAGAAAAGGAAAACGGGCGTTTCAGCAACTGCTGATCAATGATGCGATCATACGTAAGTTCAAAACATTACTCAAGAGATCCTGTCTCCAAGATTGCAAAATGTGCAAGTTGAATGTGATAGATTAATTCTCTTTGATTGAAATTTTCATTCAAACTTAGCATATAAATATATAAGTGGAAAATGGTCTGTTATTGAGAACATGATGGATTTTAATACTATCGAGAAAAATACTTTCTACATGTGTCTGTGATTTAGTTATACTTACTGTGAACTATTACTTGAAGGTGCCTGCAGTAAGGTGTATCCACACCACAAGACCCAGAGTGTGGAAGACGTGATAGCCGTGACCCTTAAGCATGCTCCACATCGTGAGAAAATAAAGAAAAATGTTCAGGTAAGAGGATTTTGTCCAAAATCTCAAAATATAAGTAGGCTTACTTTTAAAAGAGTATTAACACTCGAGAGCACGTAGATGTGAATTAGAGAACACAGCTCCAATGTGAAAACCTGTCAAATTAAAATCTGAAGTTGAATGTTGAAATTTGCACTCGATCGCAGACAAAAGACAAAAAAGTATATATATACTTTGAATTTGAAATACAAAGACAGTCACAAACCATGCCACCCCCTTGTCTCTCACCGCCCCTAAGTTGCAAGTGTAAATGTTCACGTATGATTATTTCTTGTACAATTTCTCCAATTCACATCTACGTGGTCTAGGGTGTTGATACTTTTTTTCCCCTTCATAGAGTAGTGAGTGAATGAATGCGGTGGTGATTAGGTAAAGTGAAAGGCATCTATTTATAATACTTACGAACCATAATGGCCATGGTTATGATGTTTTTGGTATCTCTTCAACCAATGGAGGATGGCAATAACACCTGTGGAAACAAAAGTCTAAATTAGTGAGAAGTAAAAGATTGATAAATGATAGAGAGGTACAGTATGGGCAACATATTCATAGACAGTATATTCTGATTTACAGGATAACAAAAGCAGATATCCATAAATCCCTCTGTAGGGGAGCGCGGGGCACAACCTAACGCGGGGTTAAAGGTAACACGGACTTTTTACATAGTTCGTCAGGATCAAGCAGGCTGTCTTTCCGCTATTTTTCTCTTGCTGCCAGAAGACGGTCTCCCGCGTTTTTGCGGAAAGTTTTGATTATATTTCGTGAAGAGACTGGACAAAGAGTGTTTTGACACCATAAAAGTAACATTTTTCAGCATATATTTTTTTCGGTTTCTGTGTTAGGTGTATACGTTTCCAAATCTAACTTTATATTGCCTTAATCACTGTCTTGTTGGCTCAAACATAAACATAAAACCGTTTTGAAACATGTCAGCAATTCCTAGCGACTGTTAGCTAGGCTTAAAATATGTAATACACAGCGGGGTTAGTTGTAACAGAGTGTTACAACTAAGCCTCCAAGTGTACAATGATAATCAAATGAAAAAGGAGCCACACAACTTTTCAGGTTTGAGTATACATTTAACTTTGTTGGACTTTCACAAACAATGTTGGAATTTAAAATGTTTAAAATGTAGTGTACTATGAATGATAACTTGTTTATTTATTAAAAATGTGGCATGTTTTTAATGCAATGAACCCTTTG